ATTAGTTCCACATACGACTTTAGAACCAATCACTTTTTACGTACATTATTTGCGAGAGAGGAATTCAATATATTAACAGTAGAAGACATATTTTGAGAGTTTTCAAAAGGTGAATAGAAAGAAGAAAATATTTAAATGACACTTGAAGAAGGAAACAATCAGCCAAAACTCAAATTCAATTATGTGAGAAACGTATCAATTATGAGAGACATTGTGGTCTACCAATAAATTATGAAATACTATTCCTATTGACTATTTGTGTGGCAATGAATCATTAAATAAACGTGCGTACGTCTATAATTATGCAATTATATCGATAGAAATCAAAATTTTTTGTTGGTTGATTTTTTTTTTCATTGCATGAACACAAGGCAACTAATGGTAGTAATATGAAGCCAATCCTAGGGGGATCTAATCCCATAATCCCCACATATATCTCTCCAAATAACTGAAGGGCCATGACCGCTACAATAAGAAAGAAAATTAGACAAAGCTCATTCTAGGCCATCATTCTTCTCACATGGATCAGCAAATAGACACACAAACACATAGTTGTCCCATAATATTATATGTAAACCTCTGTCCTAATCTTTTTTCTCAAATTTTTGCCATAATTTGAGTTCATCAACCACCCAACAAGGCCATAGACATCCAACCTATACAATCATGCCTGTCTATGTCACAAAGAAGAACTAAACAATGTGCCACCATCCATCTTTATGTTATGAAAATGGGCATCAGGGCAATAGCCTTTGCACTTTGTCCACCTTGTAAGCAACAACAAGGCACTTCTCAGTAGACATGAATATTCTTTGGGATGAAGGTGTGCATTTTGAGTTCCATGATTTGCTCAACCTAATATTACTTTATTTCTCCAAATGCTATGATATGTTTCCCCAAGAGTAGCCTGTATTCATTCTTAACACATGAATTTTGTACTTACATGCCAAACTTTTCTAGTAGCTTGTTAGGCTTCATTGAGGACGACTCCTACCATCAACTTCTGCAGCCTCTCGAGTGGACACACGAGGACCCACCGAGAATATATATGATGACAGCACATATATGGTGGACTAGAGAGAACAAAAAACAAAATTATATGCGGCATGACCTAATATTTTTTTTACTCTATTCGGAAAAGTTTACGGTAGACAACTGGTGCATGATCAAGTAAAATCTATCAAATGGACAATTAAAGATTTTGCCTAAAGGGCAAACATGGATAATTCTTAAAATTTTATAGTGTGGGCACTTGACAACATAGGATCGACCAAATCTTAGCCTATGTTTGGCTCTCATTTAAAAGAAAAAAAAAACTCATTTTCAATTACATATTCTTCTATAAAATAATTTTATATATAAATCGAAAAAAAATTTCCTTATTTGTTAACCATACATTCTTCAAAAAATTACTATTCGAAAATACATTATATAAGAACAATAGAGTTCAAACAGGGACTTAATTTAATTTCCTTTCTAGAAAAAATAATCAATATTCTTTGATTCAATAACAAAAGAATCATAGAAACAACATAATTGTATGCAGCATGTCCTAATATTCTTTTACTCTTATTCGAGAAACTATGGTAGACAATAGCTGCATGATCTAATAAAATCCATCAAAGAGGTATTCAAAGATTTTTACAAAGGGCACACTTGGCTAAGTCTAGAGAGAAATTAAGGTGCGTTTGATTGCTAATATTTTTCTTGGAAAATGTATTTTTTCTACACAATTTCCTACTTTTTATATTGTTTGATTGACAATTTTTTCCACAAAACTTTTGGTCACGTGACCATATTTTCGTTGAAAATAAGGAAAATATTTTATTTAGTGAGATGTGTTTTTTATTTTCCAGGTAATTCACGCTTTTTCTCTCTCTCTCTCTCTCTTTCATCTATCCACCAATAAAAAATGGACAAATATAATATTTTCTAGGTTAAAAACTAAATTAATCAAATATATTAAATTAATAATTTTCATACAAATAAATTCTAAGCAATTGAATTGTTTAAAATTTATTTTCTTTTCATACTCGCAATCAAATGTACCTTAATTGCTGGTTGTGGCGCCGTATAAGTGGGGTACCTGTGGGTACAAATAGCATGGTTCAAAAACTAAACATGATATATCCTTGTTTCGTAGAGATCAAAATTAAATATTTAGTATATTTTGATAAAAGTGATAAAATATGTAATTGAAAAGTAGTGAGTCCCATGAAATGTATGGTTAAAATTAATTGTTGAATTTGACTTAAAATTAAATTTTAACTGAATTTTAATCCAAGCCAAAGAGGCACTTGGCAACCTAGGATTGACCAAGTCTTGATTTTATTCTTTTTTACAAAAAAGTTAAATCTAATATTCTTTTAATAAAACAAAACCACAAAAAAACCCTCAAATCCTGATTTCCGCCGATGCTATTTACTAATAAACCAAATGCAAACATAATCAAAATTTCAATCTCGTCCCTTATTAATCATAAAAGTGAATATTAAGTCCCAATAAGTAAAATCAGCACTAAACATTAGAATCCAAATTCTCACGTCTGTTTTGTTATTATATTGTCATCAGGTTTTTTGAGTCCTAACAACCAAAAAAAAAAAAAAAAAAAAGCTACGGACTCTCATTTAAAAATCATTTTAAACTCTGCCCTAAAATGGGAGAACCATGGAGTGAAGGCAAATCAGAACTAGACAATCGAAAGGGAATGCAATGGATGGAATATGCCTTAGCGTTATATCGTTGTCTTTTGTATGGATCGAAACTTATTCGACAACTGACGAGCGAATGACGTGAGCGCAATCTATTCTAAGTCCGAGCACATGACGTCTTGAGTAAAATAAGCACTAAATATTAAAATAGTGAGTTTGTTCAATTCACTATAATCCATGTGCACTCTCATGGTATTGTCCTTCTTTTTAAAAAGCAACACCCACGCTCTCCAGAAGAGACACTAGGTCGAATAAACCCGTCATCCAACAAGTCATGAATCTAAACCTTTAACTTTTCTAGCTCTTTTGTAGCCATTCGATATGGTACCTTAGATACTGACGTTGCTTAAAGAATCAAATTTATTGCAAAATCAATTTGTCTATAAGGTGGGACTCTTGGTAGATTTTCTGGAAACACATCTTTAAATTCTTGTACTACTATTACCTTATTTGCTTCTTGACGTGACATGTTCTTTTACCTAACATCTTTTTAGCATTAAATGCTGAAATTATTTGTGTTTTTTTAAGTGTGGTCTTTACTTTTCTTTCCCTAGAACTTTAAAAGACACTAATTTCTCTCGACATTATATAGTGGCGTGATTACATCCCAACCAATGTATACCTAAAATTACATTAAAGTCTTTAATGTCCATTATGAAAAGTTTGCCTTAAACGATCTTCCCTCAAATTTCATTTTAATAGACTTGGCTATCTTATCTGTATTTAATGCTCTACTTATCTCTAAGTATACTATTAGACTTATCACATGTAATACTAGATTTATCTATGGAAGATGATAAAACAAAAGAATATATTGCTCCAAAGTCAAATAATGCATAAGCGGGAAAATCCGCTATCAAAAGAATACATGTTTTAACGTTGGGATCTGTTGCCCCTCTTGCTTAGTCATAGCAGAGCCTCAAGTCTTTCCCTTATTATTCTCATCTTGCTTCTCATTCTCTCTCTGAGTAAAATCCGTGCAATTTCGAGCCATGTGATCTCGCTTACAACATCGGAAACAAAAATTCTTTCCCATCAAATACTCTCCTCTGTGTTATTTGCTACACTTAAGACACGGTGGAATGTGATTATCCCGTTCTCATGGCATTAGTTTCAGCGTTTGACTTTTTATTATGCCATTTTCCATTTTCCTTATCTTTGTTATTCCATTTTCTTTTCTCGGTCTAATTCTTATTTTGTTAACTGGCTTGACCTTGATGGTCACACCTTTCTTCTACCTATATTTCCGTGTACCATCCCTTTGATACCAAATAGTATGAGCTCGTTCTAATATTTTGCTATAGGTAGCAAAATTAGTGTCACACTCACCATTGAAAGAAGATGGCTTGTAGCTTCAGAAAGTTTCTACCTCCGAAGCTTGAGTTGGGACAGCTACGAGGTTCACTTTTGAGTTTTGAAGATTGTGTTTGACTTCGTTTTCCAAGTTCTTACACTGCTTACAACAGAAAATGAGGAAAAATTGCAATTGCAATCCTATAACTTTTAAAAAAGTAAAAACAAATCTCACTTAAAATAATTAAATATACATTAACACATAAAAAAAGAATTTAGAAAATTTTCTTGTTTCCTAACCAAACTTATCCCCCTCCTGTCAACACCCACCCAGCCCACAGTCAATCTCTCATGTGATTTTTTTTTATTTTTTTGTGTTAATATGTATTTAACTGTTTTAAGTGTGATTCATTTGTAATTTTTGAAAAGTTATAAGACATCTATTTGCATTTTTTTTCTTATTTTTTATTTTTTAATACTTTCTTTTATTTTTATTTATTAAAAAGGGCAAATTCGTCATTTAATGGCCAACATGGAGGGAAAAACGAGTTTTGTTACACAATTGAAAGACCGTGGATAGATTATGCTAAAATGTAAAAAGTTTGAGGATAAATTTATTATATTTTGCAAAGAGTGAGCATAGAACACGAATTTAAACTATGGGAAAGAGTTTTTTACTTGGTTAATGATCTCCCTGTACTGGCAGTTTTTAGTGGATTTCCGCTTGGCCCATTTTGAGGCCTTGTTATATGGATAGGGCCCACCAGACTTTAGCGAAGGTTCTAGGTTCAATTGGGATTCGATTAACATCTCAGCAGCTAAAAATAATTTTTTCCTGCATCAAATAATCGAAATCTCTAATTATTTGTTCGCTGTTTCATTTCTTCACGTTCTTTTCGTATCATTCTCACCAAGTAATTTTTCTTCAAGGTTACTTATTGAATATCGCGTAACTGAATCGGTTTTCCACTCCGATTGACCTTTTGCGGGTTCACCATGTCTTCCCCTGCTGAGTAATTTCTTTTCTCTACTCTCTCGCGCTATTTATTTTCGAATGTGTGTGTGAGTGTGTATCTATCATTAATGTAAGTCTTTGCTCACGTTTTGCTGCGGTATACTTTATATTTCTGGATTGAGGTTTTTGGTGGTTGACTAATTTTTTGGTTAATTCTTTTTTAGGGTTAGGAATTATGATTGACTGGCAGTTTTTTGGAGATTAAAATGATTAAGAATGAGTTTACTTTCTCCGCAAATGATTACTCTTAGAAATTCTGATTTTAGACTTGAGAGATGGACAATTGAAATATACTTATGATATTGAAAGGTGGTTCTTAAGATGGAAGTTTTGGACATTCAGGGATGAGCTGATGTAACAAAATTATGGTCTCAGGTTGTTTGAATTGAGAGAGAAAAATAGCACTGTTGGAAAAATTGTACATGAGAAATTCTGATTTTAGACTTGAGAGATGGACTTAAATGTGATAATTGAAATATCCTTATGATATCGAAAGGTGGTTCTTAAGATGGAAGTTTTGGACATTCAGGGATGAGCTTATGTAACAAAATTATGGTCTCAGGTTGTTTGAATTGAGAGAGAAAAATAGCACTGTTACATGAGAAGAGCAGTTGATTACCAATTATTAACGAATTTACGAAATGACCTTGTTGCTGCAGTGCTGGAAATGATTGGTGTATTCTGTTGGATCTGCAGTTCTTGGATATTTGCTATCGTGGGAAATGGTGTGCCTCCCTAGTTCTCGGATATTGGAATATAATTAGATACGTTGGCTTTTCGTTATGGATATTCCAAGGTGTTCTATAGAAGTAGATATGAAGCAACATTTGAATGACCTTATTAAGGATTTTATTATCAGTCCCTTGATGTGTTGGAGTTATTTGGTAGAAACTCATGATGTTAAATGTGAAATCTAAGATTGATGGTCCAAGTCAATATTGTAGTAGAGGCTAGGTAATATGGCTTAAATAGTTTATCCCAAGATTACACCTTGATAGCTACATAAGAAGAATGGTGGAACTTGGTCTCCTGAAATTACTCGATTGTACTTGATGGTAAAGAATCCGAGTTACTTCATTGTGAAACCACGATGCTATGTAGATTGAACCTATTAAAAGATATAGATATTGCTCAGTGTACAAAATAAGCTGCTCTTTGACTTGATGTTTAGAGTATAGTCTCTTAATTGCCATTTTCCCTTTCGAGTTGATGCTTCACTAAATCTTAATAAGCTTCCTTTCCCCAAATATGAAAATTTCAAGAATGTATTGTTCATCTCTCTTTTATTCATTTTGGATCATGTGTGGCTTCTCTTGATATAAGCATGCATGGTTTGGATATATTCATTGCATCTTTATTTTAACAAGCCCTTGTTTGGTCCCCATTACTTTCAAAATACATTTTTCTCTCTTATTTTTAACCACACATTTTTCGATATAATAATATTACACACCAATTCAAAAATTTTTATTTTTTATTTTTTGACCATGCATTCTCCATCAAATTACTTCCAAAATACATTTTGGCAAGAAAATGGGGCTCAATAGGCTCTAAATTTTTATTTTAAAAATGAAATTAAGAATGTTTTAGCTTTTGAGGTGAATTGACTTTGAGTGAAAATTTATATATTAAGATAACTTCAAATTGCACTTTGTATTACTGGTGCTAATGAAAAAAGTGTTCATGTATCCAAAAGTACGCATAATACATTTAAAACAATTTTATAAAGCTCGTACAAATTTTCTCACACTATTTTGACTTATAAAAATGTTTCAATGATTAAATTGTCCCTTTTTTAATGTACTGAAATTCACAAACTGGAACTCTTGTCCTTGACATGTAGACCCGTTTTCTTGCCATGTGTTGTGTTGGGGCATTCCCTTGAGTGGAAAAAAGTACATATATAGTAAGACTTTTCCATGTGGCATGTTGGACATCTGTCCTGGTGTGTCAATTTTCAAAACGTGTGGTATTTCGATACTTTACCCTGGGGAGTGTCTATGCCTCAAAAGTTCATAAGGAAATTCATCTATGTTTGTGTTTCTTTTCCCTTGACCAGCGAGCCTATCTTTTTCACTATATGATTGAGTGGACCATATTCTTTTGTAAAATGTTTGATTCACATTGTTTAACTCCATCCCTTTGTTTTCGTTTTAAGGTTTTACAAGTCACTTCCACCGATAAGTAAAGCGTATGGGACAGCATGTTTGTTAACTACTATTGCATGTCAAATTGGGTTGCTCCAGGTTGCTCACATTGCATTGCTTCATGAGCTAGTGATCTTTCGGTTTCAGGTAAACATTTTATCTGTTGCTGAACCATTCTACAGTAATATTATAGATGATTAATTATAACATAAACACTTTGTACTTATGGCTCCTACTTATTCCTTGTGCTATGGGAAAATTGATAAATACCAATATTGACGTAGGACAATCCTAGTAAAAATAGGATAGAAGAATGGAGGACTATCCTGTTACAAATAGGATAGAAATTATTGTAGCAGGATTTCAACTTTCTTGTTTAGAATATGATTTCTTCTTTCTTGTTAGATTAGAATATTATTTTCATTTACTCCTTTTAGGATTTTAATTACTTTAGTAATTAGGATTAGAAGATTATTTTGCCTATGTAAACAAAGTTTTTGTTTACTATTCCATTAATCAATTTTTCAATACAATCAAATTATTATTACAAACTGTTCGAATTTTTAATTTTTCTTATTGTTTAGAGGAAATCAATTTCACTTCCTCTCCAAAATTAATATTAAAGCAAAATTTGCCCTTGTTTGATGGTTACCTATGATGGTAGTGGTACTCATCCTCACGACAATGATTGGAAGATTGCAAATTATCAACCTTGGTTCAGATCCTGGAACGGAGGATGGATAGGTTTGAAACACGGCTACTTTTGTTTCTGCGCAAAATTTGATATTGGAGCAAAGTTTGCTTTTAGCTCTTACCTACCTATGGTGGTAATGGTAATCATCTTTGTGACAGTGATCGGTGGATTGCAAGTTATCAACCTTGGTCCAGAATCTGAAATGAAGGATGGATAAGTTCAAAGATGCAGCTAATAAGAATTTGCAGATTTGATAGCTATGAATGTTGGTTGCTTCAACTAACTTAAAACACGATAATAGGGACTAGAGATATTCCTTAATTTCCAGCTAGGTGTGTATACTCACGAGTTATTAAAGATTTTGTGTAACTCTAGTGAGAGACATAAAGTAGCTCAATTTGAAGGGCGGCAAGATTTTTAAAACATGACGCACCATCAACAATAAAGTATGCAATGTGATAATAGACCATGAGAATAGTGAGAACGTGATATACAAAGCATAGGTGAAAGCTTTAAATTTCAATACTTAAAATACTCATCGTGTTATTAAGTTTCACTTGTTAAAACGGAGCAAGAAATTCAAAATTTCACTTTTTTATTGGAAAGTACTACAAAGATGAGATTGTGTAACATGATAGCCATGGACGATTGTCATGTACTTAGAGATAACGATAGTACCGTGATGTAGATGTTACTTAGAGCCTGTTTGACACCCCCCACCCCCACCCCCTTTTTTTTTTTATTGAGAAAAATGCATTTTGGAATAGTGATTTGATAATAATAGATATCAAACAACGGCTTACATAAGTCGAGATAACAGGTATGCATTTTGGTAATACGCTAAGAAGGTTGTTTTGTTGCCACATGATGATCAATTCGTGAATATCAATGTAAACAAAAAGCAAATGATTTATAAGGTAGATGGCGAGGTTTAGAAAGATGTCATTTGAGATTATCTGGATGTTGCAACCTTGATATTACAATAGAGGTAAGAAAGCGTGTGCAAGTTGAAAATTCGAGACATGGTGATCCCCAATACATGGAAGTTGACAATGAAATCAAGCGATGAAAAACATTTTCCTCGAACAGCAATTCAAGACCTCTAGCTCGAGCTGCATAACGAACAAGTTGAAATTGAGAGGTGTCCAATCGAAGTAACGAGAATTGAACTTCCCAATTACGATGTCATGTGGGGGCTTGTCAAAATAGAAGTTCTATTGACCCTCTCTGCAATCTAAATGCCTATGAATTACATGAACTCGAGGAAAATAAGGATAATATGGATCTAAGTTCCCGTGCCAGTTCATTTGTATTGAAGAACGCATCTACAAACATGAGTACATAACAGTAGAAGATGAGAAATATGAAGAATAAAAGATAGCATTGATAGCCTATATAAAGAGTGGATTCTAGGATGAGAAATTAAACCATGCATTGTTTCCGAAGGTATATCATGTAGAAAGTGTCTGTGGGGAAAATAAAATGAGTAGGGTAGGAGCAAAGTTGACTTCAAACAATGCAATAGATGAATATAATGGCGTTTTATAAAGTATATTTAGAGATGGCATTTCTTCTATATTAGTTTTGATAGAAAATTTTGAATATTTTCTTCCCATTTGATTGATTTTCTCTTCTCGTGCCAAACTTGAGGACGAGTTTTTTAAGTGAGGGAGAATGATGATGGACAATATTATTGTAAATGGGATGGAAATCATTTATTATTGAAGTATAATTTCTGATTTTTTTTTTTCTTTTACTCCTTTTAGAAAATAGAGAATAAGGCTTGACTAAAGAAATGAAAACTAATTGGTATTTGGTTTGGTGTCTGCACATAGTAAATGGCCGAATATATGATGTTGGAATCCGACCATGTGCTCTTTTCTTAGAGCATAGAGTGCAAATTGGATCATTTTGTGTGGATTTCTTTGAATTTATTTACTGTTTTGATAATGCAAATTTTATCATTTCTGAATTTTCTCTAGCTAGAGGGGAAAAAGAGAGAGATCAGGAATACAAATTTGTTTATTGTAAAAAGTCACCAGCTTTTTTTTGTTTTTTTACTTGAAAAACAACTTTCCTTTTTAACCAATTTATACCAATGAATTTAACAATGTGTCCCTAAAGCCATCGGCCTTTTTATATTTTGAAAAGTAAACAGCCTTTTTCACATAATGTTATGCATTTATTTGTTCTTCCCATGCCATAAACCCTCCCCAAGCCATGAACCTTCGATTTTCGATCTTCTCAAAATCGCAAGTTTTGTCTTCTATAAAAATAAATAAGAAATAAAGAATAAAGAAATTTAATAATTGGCAACATGTGGTGTACTATGTTGAAAAATCGTGTGTCGACGTGTCTGTTGGTACTTAATTGCATTGCTATTTGTGGTTTCTATTTTTGATATTGATTTCGTTGTAGCTTTGGCATAGAAATTTGATATAATATTTGGGACGGATCATGCTAGAAAAGAGCTATACTAGAGCTTTATTGTGTAGAATTATTTTGTTGTTCTATATGTAGTGTGCTCGATCAAGATGACTTTCGATGGAGCAAGAAACTCCTAATTTCGTGTCCTACCCCAATAAGCTTTTGATTGAGTTGAGTGTAACAATTGATTGGGATTTTGAAGGTTTGATAGCCATGTGAAGAGTTTACACATGATTTGGAGATTGATGAGGTTTCACAAAGAAGGTCCTCGTATCATAGTGTTAAGCCTCTGTTTGGGAAGAATTTATAAATTATTTGATTATAAATAAATAGAAATGAGGGGTGGATGATGCTTGTGAGTCTATTGGAATGTATGGTTGAAAATGAAGTGTGACCATATATATTTTATGATTATAAATTTGCCAAACAAAGGCTAAAAACAACAGGAAGGCATAATAGTCTAGTCTAAGGTCAAAACCCAATGACTTAAGGTTTTAGATGCAAGTTAACTTCTACATAGGAAAGTGAAAGCCCAATCACTTTCTAAAGGTTTTGTGTTTAATAGGCTCACTCCAAACTGTTTGGTGTGGTGTTCGGTTACACTTTTCTTATTAGATGTCATTTCCTCTCCACACTTTTATCAGGATGTGACGGAACGAGAGAGTATTTGATCGAGAAAACTTGTTCAAAGGCATATCATGAGTGATGGGGGAACATTATACTAGGTATTTTACCCATGGTATGTTCTTCTAGCCAAAAACGAGAACAGGAAATCTAAGACAAGAAGTATAAACTCTCTTTATTTTAATCTAGTTTCGGACAAACTTAATCACCATTTCACACCGTTATCTCCCCTACGTCCTTGTCTCTTATGGCTAGACTGTCAAAAGAGGCTGAACAATATAGAGAATTTCTGTGAAATTCTTTGTTCTCGTTGCTTTGTTTATTGTGTGTATATATATTGTACAAATATGGATATACAAGGCAAGTAAATAAACCTAATTCCTAGAAATCGACTTTCCCAAATATAAATACAACTATATAAGGTAACATCCCTCCTCAAATTGATGCGGGGAGATCAACCAGCAGCAATTTGCCAACAAGGAATTGATGCCACAGTCGAGTCATTGCTTTTGTGAAAATATCAGCCACCTGAAAATTAGAAGAAATGTAGGGAAGAGATATCACGTGATCTATCAAAGTGTCGCGAATAAAGTGACAATCAACCTTAATGTGTTTGGTGCGTTCGTGAAAGACTAGATTGCTAGCAATCTGAATAGCACTAGTGTTATTCGCATAGAGAGGAGTAGGATGCACTTGAGGAAACCCAAGCTCCTCCAGAAGACTACGTAACAAAATAATCTCAGAACAAGCGGTAGACATGGCATGGTACTCAACCTCAGTAGATGATTTAGAAACACGATCTTGTTTCTTACATTTCCAAGAGATCAACGCATCACCCAAAACCATGCACCAGCCCGTAGTAGAACGACGGGTATCCGGACATCACTGTAGGCGAAGCGCTGAAGAGAACAACCCTTAGGAAAGACTAGCCCACGAGTAGATGATCCGAGTAGATAACGAATAATACGGCGAACAGTCGCAAGATGATACCGATGGGAAGACATAAATTGGCTGACCTGATGCACGACATAAGAGATATCGGGGCGAGTAGTGGTCAAATAAATAAGACTCCCGACGAAACGACGATAAAGAGTAGGGTCTTCCAGAAGATCCCCTTCATCTTTCCTGTACTTCACATTGACTTGCATAGGGGTCTTGACAGAAGAAGAATCCTCCAAACCAGCCAAAGCAACAAGATCTTGAACATATTTATGCTGGTTAAGAAAATACCTTGACCTCGATGGTGAACCCCTAGGCCCAAGAAGTATGTGAGCTGGTCGAGATCTTTCATGTGAAAAGTGGCATGCAATAACTGTTGAAGCTTAGAAATGAACCCACCATCCGTGCCAGTAATGATGATGTCATCCACGTAAACCAACAGAAGTACAATACCCAAGTCAGATTTGTGGATGAAGAGAGAAGAATCATACTGACTTTGTGTAAAACCAAAAGTGATGAGTGTCACGAAACTTCTCAAACCAGGCCCGAGGAGCCTGCTTGAGTCCATATAGAGAACGGCATAGCCGACAGACATCAGGACGAGTAGTAGTCATACCAGAGGGAAGCTTCATATAAATTACCTCGTAAAGATTGCCATGAAGAACTGCGTTCTTCACATCCAATTGACGAAGTTTCCGAAATTGGGAGGCATCAATAGCTAAGACTGTCCGCACTGTGGTCATTTTGGCGGCAGGAGCAAAAGTTTCCTCATAGTCAACCCCTTAGAAGCACGGACACGCTCCTGGATGTAACGTATCGGTGTCCGACACGTATCGGACACCGGTACGCCTCCGACACGTCGCTGACGCGTGTCGGAGATGAGAAAAGACAGGTGGCTTGAAGAAATCAGGAAGTGGGAGGAAGAAACTGCCGGTGACCTTTGAATACCTGGGAAGAAATGCAAACGGTGATAGCTGGTATTGCCTGGGAAGAAGTCGTAAAGAAGAAAAAAGAAAGAGAAAGGAGAAGGAAGTCATCTGGGAAAAGGAAAGGAGGAGACTGCTGATAGAAAGGTCCAAAAACTGTCAGTGGAAGAAGTGAAAAGTCCAAAGGAAATGAAAAGTCTTTACCTAACCCTAAGTAATTTGAATTTTTAATTGTGGACCCACCTGAAAATTCATTTTAGCATATATGCAACGTTTTTTTTTTACCAGCTGCTTTTTAAAGTCACAACTGAAGATGAAGATGTTCAATTGTTCATCATGTAATTAATTTCATTTTTACTTTTTGAACTTGTGTTATTAAAAAAATGCATGAATTTAATTATTTATATATGATAAAATAGGTATAAAAAATTATTATTTTAGATTATTAAATTAAAATAAATTAAAAAATAATTTTTTAATTAACGTGTCGAAACTTTTTCAAAAAATCGCGTGTCAACATCGTGTCGGACACTCGTGTCCTTGTCGGTGCTTCTTAGGTCAACCCCATATTCCCACCTATTACCTAAAGCTACAAGACGAGCTTTGTACCGATCCAAAGAGCCGTCAGAACGAAGTTTCACAGAGAAAATCCATTTACTCCCAATAGGTTTCACCATAGGGGGGCAAGGGACAACATCCCAATTAAATTTGTAGAGAGGTTGGGAGACACAAAAACATTAGTTAAGGAAGAGGAAAGGTCACCAACAACTTGGATAGGCAGAGAACTGCCATTAGCGGTGTGAATTTAGAGATTCCCATTATATTCTCGTAGGTTGGAAAGATGACTAACCGTATTGGTCATGTGATTAGAGGCTCCGGAATCAATGGATCATTTATACATTTCAGGGGTAAGAGTAGATGCAGAAGCGGGGGGAGGAACAACGGGTGAGGCAGCAGGCAATGTCGCAAAGCTAGAGGCACCAGTGGAGGTATGATAGGCAGCGGTAGGCTTCCTTGCAGGCCGAATGGGACAAACAGTAATGTGATGACCCGTTTTCTTGCAGTAATGACAAAGTTTCTTAGGACAATCTCGAGCAATGTGACCAAAAACTCGACAGTTATGGCTTTGTATAGCACGCATATCTCGACCCTTACATGGTATGAAAAAACCCTGCTAAGGCCCGCCTCACTGTGAGGAGGCTCAATCTGTGAGGTAAAAAAAATGAGGCCCACGCCTCTACATCTGAGGCAAAAAAAATTAGGCGTGCACCTCATTTGAAGTACGTTTTTTTAGGTTTTTGAAAATGAATTAAAAAAGGTCCTCTTTAAAAAAGAGAAGGGTCCATTTAAAAAGACATTTTGAGCCAAACAAAATATTAAAATATCTACAATACCAAAAGGCAGCTAGAAATCCTTCTACACGGCAGACAGAAATCTTCCTAGATGGCCAAAACTACAGGGCAATCAGAAATCTTCCCAGAACTAAACGGCAGCCAGAAAACTTATCTTCAATCCTTCGCTTAAAAGAGGTCCTCAAGTGCTACTTCTACGTCTCTTTTCTCATTTGCTTCTGCCTTCTTTTAGTGACTTACAATTTAAAATTGTTTCACTAGACTTTGCTTGGCTCTTTTCTTGTTCAGTGCATCGACCCCAGATTGCACCTGTTCTATTCGGCAGACTACACCTGTTTTGTTTGTGGTGAGGCTTACGTCTCGCCTCATGACAAAAAAAGGCCTCAGTACCCGTTTACGTTTTTTCAAACTATGAACCCTTATGCCTTCCTTGTGCTGCATAAGCCACAGTGACAGGACCACTAACAGTATCTCTATGTTCCATGGTAGCCTGGGTAACAATACGTTGCTCCTCACGAAGAAGTTCACTCAAACAAGTGTCTAGAGATGGTACAGGATGATGGTTCATCAAATTAGATTGCACAACCTCAAAATCAGGACGTGGCTTCATCAGGAATTAGTCCCTCTTGCTTATCTCATGCACTGTTAGAACAGCAGATAGAGCGGCAGCTGGAACATCAGCATAAACAATATTCAAATAGTTAGCCCAAAGATTTTGAAAGCCTGAAAAATATTCTTCAATCAATAGACTGCCCTGTGTGAAGTTAGCCAATTCAAAGTCCAATTGAACACGTCTAGCAGTATTTTGCTGTTTGTGAACCTTGCCAAGATAGGCCCACATATCAGCTGCAGTTTTGTAACGCCTCAAATTAAGAATGAGTTGAGGTTCGACCGAACTAAGGATCTAGGTCATAACCCAAGCATCCTTGATTTCCCACTTCGATAAAGCGTCGGCATGTGTGGGAGCAGGATCACTTCCATCAAGATAACCCCATAACTCTTTACCTTTGACAAAAAGTTGAAATTGAAACTCCCAAGTTGAGTAATTTTTGCCATTAAAACGAATAAGGAATCTAACTTGCCAGATGACATTATGAAATAGATATCCAAACTAATGAAGAAACCTAAAAATTAAATAATGGCCCAAAGAATTGAAACAACCAGGAGAGCCCAAATGACCTAAATAGGAAACAGTGGCCCAAAAGAAATACCCAATCAAGGCCCAACCAAGAAAGCTTGGGAGATCAAAAAAAAAAAAAAAATCAGCACACAGAGAGATCCAGAGAAAGCCCGACACCGGATGCTGCAGTACACACCCAAGAAGCTAAGAGTCATCGTCCAAAGTGCCGAACTAGGAAGAGACAATCAAGGGCAGCACCCAGCAAGAACGTCGACCCCAGCGAAAAACTACAACAGACAGAGCACTCGCCGGAATTGAAAGAACCGTAAAAGACGAACGGAAAACTGAAGATTGCATGGACGATCCATGCTCACCGCAACAGGGAGGTCTGATTTCAGCCACAACCAGCAATGAGCATTCCACGACGAGCCTAACACTGAAATTGGGAGGCTTGATCGAAAAAAAAGCGCGGTAAGAACTCAGAACCAACGCTTTGATACCATGTCAAAAGAGGCTGAACAATATGGAGAATTTCTGTAAAATTCGTTGCTCTCATTGCTTTGTTTATTGTGTGTATATATTGTACAAATATGCATATACAAGGTAAGTAAATAAACCTAATTCCTAGAAATCGGCTTTCCCAAATATAAATACAACTATATAAGGTAACATAGACCAGGCTAACTCAAAATGTTTTTGTAAGAGGGTACTACAAATTTCTCTTATTAAGGTGTACCGATCTTCAATCTTCGTAAACGAGAAGAATGATTATTGATTTTTTTTAGTAATATTTTATTGGTAATTCATTCCAAAAGGGTACAGGCTAGCATAGCCTGTGTGAATCAGTAGTCTATGGTATATAGTATGGCACCTCTTGAGCAATGTGCAAGTCATTGCGGATTTTGAAAATATTGACAAAATGAGAGAAATAGCATGTTATAACTAAGATTTTTGCTGGTTAAAGGCTTGAGTATGTTCCAACATTTTAGTCTAGCCATTTTGCTGAAAATCAAGGTCCTTTCAGTTTGTTTAACACATGCCTCCATTTCTTAATTATAATTGTAATTTTCATGATTCATTGTGGCATTATGTTTCATCTCTTTGGAATGTCAACTGCTAGAGCATGTATAAGTATTATTTTGGCAACCCAAATAAAAAATAATTGGAAGTGTATCGTATGTTTGGCTACCTAGAAAGCCGATTACATTTTAGGAGCCCATTTACACACGTCACTGGTGTTCAGTGAGTTGGCGTGAATGTACTTCATAGAAAGTTGATTTCTGAGGAGTCTACTTGAGAAAGTCATGGTCTTAGTTCACTTCTTGTGTACAGAGGTAGCAAAATCTCAAGGCACTCATAGACAGGATTTAATTTTATTTTTTTTAAATTTTTTAATTTTTTTCATCCTTACCCTCCCAAAATTGAGGCTCAAATCGATGCATGACCTAGTAAGACTTGGCCCTTATCAATTGAGCTAGTCCTTGGCCTCCTCAAAGACTTGAGTTTATCAAACACATGATACTGTTTAAAGCACTTCTTTCAGTGCTTATAATACAAAATGCATATGCAAGATAAGATTTTCATAGAATACTATGTCTATAGCTCCATCTCTCTATCAGAAACACAGACAGACAATTGATCATCCGTTTGCGGGAATATTTGGTTACTAGCTTTAGTAATGTACTGCTTAGAAGAATGATACAAGCATTTCTTCTGGACTCGATTTGTACAAGTTGAACATTGTTTAATGGTTTTCATTGATTCTTATTTTCAGGTGTGGCGCCTGATTACAAACTTCTTTTTTCTTGGCACATTTTCTATCAATTTCGGGATTCGCCTCTTAATGATGTATGAGCACTACATTCTGATTCATACCAGTTAAACCAATTAAGATTTTATTTCTGTGATATTATAAGCTTTGCCAGTGTACTGTGGAATCTTAGGTAGCTCTGTGTAATTGATTTTTGTAGAGCAAGATATGGAGTCCAACTGGAAAATGGACCTTTCCAAAGACGCACAGCAGATTTCTTGTGGATGATGATTTTTGGAGCTTTGTCACTATTGGTATNGTTAAAATTATTGCATAAAAGATGTTTTGTGTTTCTTTCTTCACTCAATCTCATCTTTCTTTCTAGTGGCCTCTTTGCCTTGTCCATTAGCATTCCCCTGTTTTATCAGTTTCTTCACTTCAAGTACAACTATTCACATCAAGATGTTTTGCATAATAAAATTTATATGGATTGATGTTATGGCATCTTTTATATAACACGTTTTGACCTGCATGTTTAGGTTCTATCTGCAATACCCTTCTTCAGGTCTTATTTCTTAGGGGTATCACTTGTTTTCATGCTTCTATATGTCTGGAGTAGAGAACATCCAAATGCCACCATCAACATATACGGCCTTGTGTCTCTCAAGGTAATTTTATTTCTAGATATTTTGGATTATGCACTTGTTAACGAGATTTATGGTTTTTTAAGTATTATTTATGATTTTTTGCATAATTGTTTCCTCGCAGGCATTTTATCTACCATGGGCCATGCTCTGCTTGGATGTTATTTTTGGTTCTCCAATTGTGCCAGATCTTTTAGGAATTATTGCCGGACATCTCTATTACTTCCTGACCGTGTTGCATCCATTGGCTGGTGGGAAAAACATACTGAAAACTCCAGTTTTGATGTATCCTTTTATTTGGTTTCTTCAAGGGAATCATGCATACACTTGCCACGCACACAGGCTAGCTGCCTCTCCTCTCAGGAGGCCAATAGTAATCTTGGCGTTTCTTCAGTATGAGAGGTCATTCCTGATAATTATTTTTGTCATCGTTTCTTCCACCCGCAAGACCCAGATTCTAGATGGGAGGAAATAAACAAAAACAACAGAAAGTTTAAAAGTAATATAACTTAGGTTACTTTTGTGTGTGTGTGTGTGAGAGAGAGAGAGAGAACAAATGAAACTGGAATTGTCTGCTGATGGTTGCTCACTCAACGTTCTTTTTTATTCTGTCAATTTCTTTAACTGCCGCATCACAGACACAAACTAGTTGCACGATGGAGAATTGGAGCTCCGGCTAATTACTCCTCCCAGCCGGAAAGAACTTCTGGTGGGGCATTCAGGGGAAGATCTCACAGACTTGCTGGATAATATTTCCTTTCTAACTATCTAGATGTGAACATCGAAAATCATAGCGAGTTTTGTGCGCGTGTTGAAATAACTGCTGACAAGGGAAAAAATGGTATTGTAGATGTGATCCAAATTTGAGCATTGAAGTTCCTAGATACACACTTTTTTCATCTGCACATTTTCATAGTATTTTGGAGGAAAATCATTGATAGAAATACTGAATGAACACACACACAAACTAATTTCTTCCATTTGGATTACAAGTACCTTTGTGTTTCATGTGTAGTTGATTATAAATAGAACATTATGATGTCCTTATATGATAAAACCAATCAAGAAAACAGATGTACCTCATTTGGTTTAGGGATTCGAAACTATCCAAGAAAATATTCTGTTTTTCCACTGATGTATGTTATCTAAGGTCATTCAGATTACTGTTGGATTTGATTCAAGCATGTTGAAATAAGTTGGCTGGCTCGTTCAAAACAAGTTTGGGAGTTTATAATTATAAATACATAAAAATAATTGGTGGATAAATGGTTACACGTGAATATCATGACAGGATAATGTAACTTTTGAGCCTGTGTATGCCCATCAGAAGCAAATGTTGCAGTAGGACCCTATCATATTCATCAATGAGTAAAAATGCTTCCTAAATTTTTAGAGAATTTGGTAGTTACCTTAATTCTCATCTAAACTGCTAATAGGTAATAACGATTACAAATAACACCACAAAATTTGTAGATAAAAAGTGATTTATTCGATTACATGTGCATGTTAAATTTAAGCTCATTAGAAATCAGGTTGGACAAGTTTCGATTTTAATGGGCTGCGTACCATTACTAAACTTTGATTCCCAGTTAAACAGGATCTTCAACACACAAGTTGTAGATTTCGACGCAGAAAAAGAATAGTTGTAGAGCGTGATTTGGTATTATCATCCCTCTGTACAAAGTTCTTTATTTAATTTTTTTTGTTAGTTCAAAACAAACACATCGCAAAGAACTGCATATTATGTAGAACGTGGAATACTTAGTCCAGACTTGATCAACAACACCCATAGTTTGTTAGAGAGGCAACCTTATGGGTCACTCCATTCTCCTGACGGGAAGTGTAGCGATAAGTAATACAGTTTACCTCTGTTAATAGCGCTATAATATTCGATAAAATAAGATTTAATCGATAATTTGCAATCCGATGGAATACCTTGATTACTACATCTAAAGTAAGAGAACAATCTCATGCAAAAGCTAATCCCTCCGTATCGAGCAATCTTGATTTTATACAGAGAAAAAAGGACAAAGTTACATCTAAAATATCGATATAACCAGCTATTAGACTAACAACATTTTTTTCTTCTTTAAAAACTATAGAAACATACTTTGCCAAGTGTCTTCCACGACATATTCCTTCTTTTACAATTTGGATGTTGTTATGAAATGGATCGCAAGATAATTACAATAATGAAATAAAGAAGAAAAAAAAAACAAGAACACAAGAATTTACGTGGAAACTCAATTCAGAAAAAAATCACGGACAGAGGAGAACAATCCACTATAATCAATAGTTTTGTATTTACAATATCAAGATTTCAATAATCTCAATTGGAATCTAAACTCTCAATCTCTCAATATGTTGTTGAAGATGTAAAGAATAAGATACGAATAATATATTATGGAAATACAATATGGCTATATATATATAACCTCTTATTGGAGTCCNATCTTCCAAACAAGCCCCAATGGACTATGACAAACACCAATTCAGTTCAAGCAATGCTCAAACTTAGAAATGGGAAGTGGTTTTGTTATCATATCAGTAGGATTATCCTTGGTATCAACCTTGCTCACTACAATATCACCATGAGAAATTACATCACGCACAAAATGATACCTCACATCAATGTGCTTAGTCCTCTCGTACAACATTTGATCCTTAGTTAAGAAAATTGCACTCTGACTATCACAGAATGCTGTAGATATCTGTAAGTCTTCACTGATTTCACCCATCAATCTTCTCAGCCACAAAGCCTCCTTACATGCCTCTGTAATGGTCATGTATTCTGCTATAGTTGTAGATAAAGCCACTGTATTTTGCAAAATAGCTTTCCAGCTAATAGCACAGCCATTTTCCTTTTTGAAGTACGCACAACTATCATAATTACATCTATCAAAATCATGAGTAGTCATGAATGAATCAAACATCTTATACCACTACATTCGATAACTGCTTTAATCCATATAAGGATTTCTTCAATAAGCACACATAGTCTTCCTTCTCTAAAGCTATGAACCCTTTTGGTTATTGGATGTAGATGCTCTCCTCAAGTTCTTCATGTAAGAATGCTGTCTCGACATCCATTTGCTAAAGCTCCAAATCAGTCTTAGCCACCACTCCAAGTAAAGCCTGAATAGAACTATATTTCACAACTGGTGAGAACACATCTGTAAAATCAACACCCAAAATTTGACTGTAGCCTTTTGCCACCAATCTAGCCTTGTTTCAAGCATCTTCAATCCCTGATGTGCCTTCCTTTCTTTTGAACACCCATTTACAACGAACCGCTCTTTTTCCTTTAGGTAATTTCACTAAGTCCCAATTGTTATTTTTGTCCAATGACTCCATCTCCTCCTGCATAGCAATCATCCATTTGCTAAACTCACTACAAATGACTGCCCCTGAATATGTAGTGGCTCTTCAGTGGAACCAATGTTTTCAGCCACACTTAATGCATAAGCTACCAAATCTGCTTCCCCATACTTCTGTGGAGGTCTAATCTGTCTGCGAGGTCTATCCTTAGCAATAGAATACCGTGGTGCTGGTGATGTAGGCAAAGTAGGCAGGATATTACTATCCATCAATCCTAAACTGGACTCACATGTAATAGACTGTTCTACAACCTCTAATTGTTTCTTTGAACCAATTTCCAACTCCACCTGAGTTGAATGATTTTGCTCCTCAGTTTTATCAGAATTCCCAAGAGGTGAACCACGAACCATAGCAAGTTCATCAAATATTACATTCCTACTAACAATCACCTCTTTAGTCTCGGAACACCACAACTTATGCCATTTCACACCTGATTTATATCCAAGAAAAATGCACTTTCTAGACCTAGGCTCCAATTTCCCATTATCCAAATGAGCATAAGCCGGACACCCAGAAGTTTTTAAATCAGAATAGCAAGAAGATTTACCAGATCATACCTCTTTTGGTGTCTTTTTATCAATGGCAACTGAGAGCGAGCGATTAATCAGAAAACAAGTTGTAGTAGCAGCTTCAGCCTAAAAGACTTAGGCAACCCAGAATTTGAAAGCATACAACGAACCTTTTCCATCAATGTTATGTTCATCCGTTCTGCCACACCATTCCGTTGAGGAGTTCTAGGCACTGTCAAGCGTCTCAAGATGCCTTTAGCCCTACAGAAGCTATTGAATTCATCTGAACAAAACTCCAACCCATTATCAATGCGTACACATTTCACTTACTTTCCGGTCTACTTTTCTACCAATGTTTTCCACTCCTTGAAGGTCTCAAACACATCACTCTTCTGCTTCAAGAAGAATACCCAAACTTTCTTGGAAAAGTCATCAATTACTGTCAACAAGTAATAATAGCCACCTTTAGATGGTACCCTGGCTGGTCCCCAAAGATGGATATATTCAAGTGTTCCCTTCGTGTTGTGTCTTCCTTTAGTAAATCTGACTCTCTTCTGTTTTCCAAATACACAATGCTCGCAAAACTCTATTTTGCTGGTCTTCTGCCCATCAAGAAGTCCCATTTTACTTAGCTCTGCCATCTCATTCTCACTCATACGCTAGAGCCTCATATGCCAAAGTTTTGTAACTTCATCATCTATCAAAAAAGAAGTAGAAACTGTTGCATCCCTAATCACTGTGGAACCGTGCAAAATGTACAACTGTATGGAGTTTTTATACCCCTTGATGACAACAAGAGCACCCTTGCTCACCTTCAAAACTCCACCTTCACCGATGTATCTGTAGCCCTTTGAGTCAAGTACACTCAAAGATATGAGATTTCGCTTCAGTTTTGGAACATGTCTTACATATGTAAATGTTCTGACAGCCCCATCAAACATTCTGATTCTGACTGTACCAACTCTGACAATTTTGCAAGGCTCGTTGTTTCCCATAATCACAGCACCTCTCGAAACTCTTCATATGTAGAAATTCAGTCCCTCATAGGACACATATGAAAAGTACAAGCCAAGTCAAGAACCCATTCATTACAAGTTTTAGAATCCCGTCAGAAATCACAAGAAGCTTTCCACCACTTTGCTCATCTTCCACAACATCAGTCTTCGCTATATTAACATGTTGCTTCACTTTCTCTATAGCACCAACAGCTTTATTTCTATTTTTCAAGGCGTAGTAATAAGCTCTAATATGCCCCTTCTTTTTACAGTAGTAACATGTCTTCTCAGCATGCCTAGACTTCGATTTGCCCCTCATATTTCTGTCAAGATTCCTATCTTGATTCCTCCCACGCACAACCAAGCCTTCAGCATAATTTCCAAATCCTCCAACAAGATGTCTCATCTTTTCCTTAGATAGTAAAGCATCATAGACCTCTTCTACGGTGAGAGTATCCCGACTATAGAGAATAGTATCCCTAAAAGTTACATATGATGGTGGCAGTGAACACAACAACATCAAAGCTAAGTCCTCGTCATCATACTTAACCTCCAATGTCTCCAGATCAGCCACAATTTCTTTGAACATAGTTAAGTGATCATCCAATGACGCACCTTCACACATCCGATGAGAATACAAGCGATGTTTCAAGTGTAGCTTGCTGGTCAAGCTCTTTATCATGTAAAGTTGCTCCAATTTCAACCACAATGTAGCGACACTATTCTCCTTAAGTGCATCCTGAAGAATTTAATCTGAGAGATGTAGATGAATTTGAGATTCAGCTTTCCGATCCCTACGCCACTTTTCATCATGTGTCAGGCAGTAGGCATCCAATCAAAGCCAAGCAAGGCTTTCTTCACTTGTCAT